GATCGCGAGACCGTAGCTCGGGTTGATGCGTGTGACAAGGCTGGCATCAACCCGTGGAATCGATCTAGGCACCGACCACTGAAGAACGACAATATACTGTCCTTCATACCCTGATGGGTCGCGGCTTCCTCTGAGCGGCAATAAAGCAAGCTCACTCGCGCTCCATATCGCCAAGCGCCAGTGTGCAGAAGCGCCAAAACGCTTGCGCGAAGATCGCGATCTGACAGCTTCGAACTTCGTGTTACTGAATTATTTCTTTTAGACCAATGCAGGTGTTGCATTTGACCAAAAATCAGCCAATGTGGTTGCCCAAAGGCAGTGTTAGAGCGATTTTAGACCAATGCGCGTGCGGAATTTCACCCACCCCCTAATTGGTACTCCCCTCACAAGGAACCACAATAATTACATTCGCCTGGGTCGGGCGTCGACCACTTGCCCGTGTTTGCAAAGGTCGGTCCTCGTTTGACATTTTTCTGTCAAACGCACCTTTTTTGTCATAAATGCACTGTTTTTGTCAAAGTTAGTGGCCATACACAGTGGCACTAAAAGACCGGCTGTTCTTGGCGGCTGGACAGGGGCAAGAACAACTAACCGGCGCAACAGGCAAGTAATCGCACGGTTGGTCTGCGCATACACTGCAAAGGTGCGTCTCAACAGGGCGTATTCCTCTGCAGAGCCTGTGCACCAAGAGCGTCACCAACGCAACCCTCAGTGCACATCGTCGAGAGCGGCTCTTCTGCCGACTAGGATTTTTACCACATGTACCGGTACTGTTGCTCGCCATCCGTTGGCTTGTTCGTGCATGCTCCTCGACGTCGCCGCAGCAGCTGACACGTCACACGATCTGTTTGCGCCCATTACAACCCAGGGTACCACCACCCAAGCCTATTAGCTCCGAAGCCTGTACACGATCTGCGGCTGCATGGTTCCTAAATGGCAGTTTGACCGACTTTGCCGTACGCTCCAGCTCCAGCGCGCGTCAAGCAAGTCCCTTGGTGCGTCCAACTCAACTCGCTCGTGCTACAACCGCGTCCGCCCGTCGTGAACAGAGCCGTCGGACCAGACGCCACAACTCAGAAACAAGGAGCACCACGTGGTCTCCGCCTCCACCTTTGTGCAGCACGATTCGCAGACACGAGGCTGACACTGCAAGATTTACCATCCCCCACCAAGCATGGCCGCGCAGCCAGAGCCGGCGACTCCGATCGGCGACAACGACCTCCTCCTCGCCAAGCCGTCGACGATCCCCAAGGCGCCGTCGCACAGCTACCGGCCCGACATTGACGGTCTCCGGACGCTCGCGGTCGTCCCCGTCGTGCTCTTCCACGCGTACCCTGCGGCTTTTCCCGGCGGCTTTATTGGCGTCGACGTCTTCTTTGTCATCTCTGGCTTTCTCATCTCCGGCATCCTCTTCAAGCAGTGCCGCAACGACACCTTTACGTACGCAGGCTTTTACGTCCGGCGCGTCCGGCGCATCTTCCCGACGCTGATTCTCGTCTTGAGCGCGACGTTCTGGCTCGGGTACCTCTACCTCATGGCGCCCAAGCTCAAGGCAATGGCCGCGACGATGCTGGCGGCGTCGCTCTTTAGCGCCAACCTCCAAGTGCTCTCGCTCACGCACTCGTACTTTGACATTGACGTCAAGACCAACCCGCTCTTGCACCTCTGGTCGCTCGGCGTCGAGGA